GGGTGATGGCGCGAGGTGGGGAGACGGACGGGAGGGGATGGAGGCCGAGCCCGGGATGGGGGCGCAGAGACCCCGAGATGGGCGAGTCCGCGAGGAGGGGAGAGATGGGGAGGGAGACAGAGATGGAGGAACTGGGGAGAGGGGGAGAGACAGAGGGATGCGGGGACAGACGTGGAGAAGAGACAGGGGCGGGCGTGGAGCACAGAGAAACAGCAGAGATTGAGCGAGGGAGAGACCGAGAGATGGAGACAGTGACAGGGAGGGAGACCCCCCAGGTGAGGGGAGACACGGGGAGAGGAGAGACAGGAAAATGGGAGAGATGATGGGAGGAGACAGGAGAAAAAAGAGGGGCCGAGTGAGGAGAGAGAAAGGGGGAGACAGAAAGTTGGGCAGGTGGGGGTGTGGGAATAGAGGAGACCCCAGGGGCAGGTGAGGTGGGGGTGGGACTGGCCCCCAGAGGCCTGCGCGCTGCAGGGGGACGTGGGGGAGGAACCCCAGTAGACACTGGGCCGTAGGGGCCCGGCGAGGGTGTCCGTGGGAGACTGGACACGTCTGGGGCAAATGGGCTGACAAGTCCTGTCTGGTGTCCAAGGGCTGAGGTGGGGTTTATGGGGGAGCAGAGTGTCTGTGGGTTTCTGAGTGGTGTGTAGGATCTTTGGGGAGCAGTGGGGTGTCTAAGAGGATTGGTGTATTTGAGAGTATTCGGAGCTGCTGTGTGTAAGGGGAGGGGTGCCTGGGGTGGTGTGTGAGGGGGAAGGGCTGTCAGGAAGGGGAAAGGTGCTGAGAGGGCGAGGAGGGGATGCGGTGTCTTAGGGGGACGTGTCTGAGGAGAGGGCTGTCTGAGGGAGTGGGGGTCTGAGAGGGAGGACCTGTCTGCGAGGGGAGGCAGCTCTAAGGAGGAAGAGGCAACTGGGGAAGCAGGTCCGAGTGGCAGGAGTCCTCAGGTTGCGCCGTGAGCCGCAGGTTGAAGGCGGGGTGTCCGTGGGAGTGCACATGCGGGCGCTGGGGGCTGGGCCTGTCCCCTCCCAGCCCGTTGGGCGGCACCAGGTTCTGGCCAGCTCTGGGCAGACAGATGAGAGCGCGGGGCTTCGAGGGGCTGGACGGACCAGCCTGGGGGTCAGCTGGGGGGCCGGGGTGGGGGTGAGGCTGAGTGAGATAAATCTGGGGCAGCCACAGAGAGAGACAGAGGGAGACCCAGAGACGCACCGAGGGAGAGGTCAGGCGCGAGAGGGGGACAGGGAGACGGCGGCAGAGACGGTGTGGGGCGGGCGGGCGCCAGAGCCAGCGAGTGTGAGCGAGCGAGAGGCGAGGAGCGAGGGGGGAGGCTGGGAGCACCCTGCGCCTAGTGACCGAGGCAGAGTAAGGGGCTGCCAAGGCGCGGCGGGAGGGAAGGCTCGGTGGCACAGGGTCTGGAGTGGGACCAGCACAAGGGGCAGAGGGGTGCCAGGGAGGGCTGAGATGTGGGGGAGAGGGTGTGGGCGTCAGGCTGGGCAGGGTCTCGGCACTGACCCCTCTCTGTCTCTCCCACCCGCCCCGTCCTGTCCCCGCGTGTCTGTCCCGGCCTCTCTGCAGGGCCGGCTCCACCATGGACTGTAGCTGCGTCTCCGACCTCCTCTTCGCCCCGCCTGCCCTGCCGGCTCTCTGGACCCCCGGTAACTGGCCTGCATCCCCCCCATTTCCCAGACCTCGGGCCTTCCCAGCAGCCCCTCCTTTCTGATCTCTCACTCCCCTTCCTCTGCCTCCTGGGTCTCTGTCAGAGTCCCCTGAATCCAATCTCTTAATGAAAAACTTGGCTAAAAACTTCAGTCAGATGTCCCTGCCACCTGCCTGCTGGGATGTGAGGGTCTTTGGGAGGGTGGGTGAGGTCGGGATTGAGGCCCGAGAGGGACAAGGGTTCAGGCGCCTGAGGTCCTAGGGTATCTGCTGTGCACATCTCAGCCTGCGTCACCCAGGACCTGCGGGCAGAGAGTAGCGGGAGGACTGGAGACCAACAGGCACTGATGGAGCAAGGATGGGGACCAGAGGGGCCACTAGGCCAGGTGCTGGTAGACAGATGGACAGATGGGACCATCCAGACAGGGGGACTTGGTGACCTGGCCCAGCCAGCCGGAGCCCTGGGAGAGAGGACGGCTTGCTCAGAAGTGGACATTCAGGAATGGGCATGTGGACAGTAAGACCGGCTGGGTGTGCATTTGAGCCCAAGTCACACGCCCCACAGATGGGTTGTGTGTGTGTGCGTGTGCACACACTTCTGTATGTTTGTGCAGACTGAGACCTGTGCCTGGTTATTTGGGGCCGTGGAGTGTCACTTGAGTGTTTCTGGAGGAAGGGGTCACACTGGGAGTGTGTGTCTGTGTTCGTGTGAGCTGGTGTGCCTCCTTGTGCGTGCACAGCTGAGGCTACCTCAGTGGCTCTGGGCTGGGTGTGTCATGTTTCTTTGGGATGTGTAGTGTGTCTACATTTTAGGACTGGGGGGATGTCTGCCAGCTTGCCAGGTGTGCACCTGCCTCGGTGGGGTAAAGACCCTTCGCCTGGTCCTTACCGGCCTGTCGCATGGTGTGTGGCATTCCTAATGGATGTCTTGGTGCTGTGAGGGTGGGTGGCCCTTGGGCATCTGGGTTGGGCTGCTTGTGTTGGCGTGTGTGTGAGGATTTCTTGCATCTGTGTGTCACTGAGTGTGACAGTATTGGGGGCTGCCTGTCACAATGTGAGTCTTTGTGCTGAGCTTTTAGGTCTCTCTCTAGTTGGATGTGTGTCTTAACAGGTACCACACATTTGAGGACGTGCATCTGAGGACAGGTGGTGATTCTGGGTTTGGTTGTGTACCTGCATGCGTGCGGCCAGTTGCGTTGTCATCTTTTGAGTCGTGTGGATGTGTCTGTGATAGTCGCCTCCCCACTAGGATGTGTTCTGTGTGTGGAATGTGCCAGAGCTGCCATGTTGATGGAGCCCTGTGGTCTGAGGTGAGAAATACCCAAAATGGAGTTGAGAAAAAAACTCTCCCTTTGGGGAGGAAACTGCTTGGCCTTCCTTGGCCTCAGGCAGGGAGGTGTTAGTACCCACGTTTATACACCAGGCAGTCTGGGCCAGACCTTGCTCTGAAATTCTAATAAGCCAGAGAGGGCAAGGAACTGTCCTGGGTCACACAGCAGGTAGATACAGGCCGGTCTCCCAGCTCGGCGTTGCATCCTTTGCTGACCTCCTTCCCTTTCTCTCTCGGCTCTCAGCTCTTCATGGTCCAATTCTGCCTTCTGTTTTCATGCTGGGGTCCGGGGTCTCTGAGGAAAGAGACGGGGGCAAAGGATGTGGCCCTGGAGTGAGTACAGAGGTGGGACCCAGGGCCTAGGGGTGAGCAAGCACACCCATTCCCCCCCAGTGTCTGGGCATATTTGGACAACGGGGTGCGGGATGCCGAGTGTGGACTGTGGGATGCTGAGTGAGCTGTGGGTGTCACAGTGTGGGGGTGTCTGTGGGTAGGTAGGCGCTGTTCTTTCGTGGTGTCACCCTGCGTGGGCCGGTCAGGTTGACACGTGTCCTGATGCTGCCTCACCTTCTCTGTCTCCACCACACTCTGTCTTATTTGGGTCTTTGGGGTCCTGAACGTCTTGTCGTGTGTACAGTTCTGAGGGCCCAGGAGGTGTGTAGTTGTGTGTGTTGGATGGGTGTGTAGTGTTGAGTGTCTCTCTGGTGTGTCTGCTTTGGTGGTGCATGGTGTTGGTGTGTTGTGCCCCAGGAGTGTGCCAGTCTGGTGCATGTGTCCCAGGGTGTAGCTGACGTCCCTCAAGGGTGAGTGGAAGTCTGTGTGACACGTTGCTTACTGTGGGTGTCTGCAGGCACACCGCTCTCAGACCGACGGCACGAACGCAGGGAGGGTGCCCAGGGGCGTGAAAAGCATAAATAGGTGACAGATGTTGCTAAGTGTTCACACAGGCCCAGCCTGGATGTGCCAGGGTGGGGTCAGCTGGTGGGGGGAGCTTTGGGGAAGAGGTTGAGCAGGGGGGTGGCACAGGAATCGGGGCTGGTGAGAATGCAGGAGGGACTAGAGACCTCTGGGGCAGGCCAGGGCAGGAGTGGGTGTGCAATGGAGAGAAGAGCTAATGCTGTGGAGGGTGCCTCCCCTGCAGGCTGGCTCTTCCCAGCTCCTCCCCACAGTCCAGGACACAGGAAACCGGGGTCTCCTACCCTGCACCCAGGACACTGAGCCTGGGAGAGCTGTGCCAAGATAGGGACCTGATGCTGGATTCTCTCCCATTGTTGGGACAGTTTGTGGGGTATGGCGGGTGGGAATGAGGTCCCTAAAGATGCCTGAGGCTGGGCAGCTGCTTATCAGGGGGAGAGCTGGGTGCCTCCCCGGTTCCAAGCAGGGGCCACTTCCCTGCCTCCTGTCCCCAGGGTTTGCCTTCCCGGATTGGGCCTACAAGCCGGAGTCGTCCCCTGGCTCGAGGCAGATCCAGCTGTGGCATTTCATCCTGGAGCTGCTGCAGAAGGAGGAGTACCAGGGTGTCATCGCCTGGCAGGGGGACTACGGGGAATTCGTCATCAAGGACCCCGACGAGGTGGCCCGGCTCTGGGGCATCCGCAAGTGCAAGCCCCACATGAACTACGACAAGCTGAGCCGGGCCCTGCGGTGAGGGCCGTGGCCTCGCCCCTTGTCCCCTCATTGTCCCTCCGGGCTCCGCCCCCGGGAGGTTTTCCTGGGCTTCCCTGGGCAGAATCCCTTTCGAGCACTCGCAGGGCCCTCCAGGGGTGTAAGCACTTCCTCGAGTGGAAGGCAGGCGAGGAGGCAGGACCCGTCTCTGGGCTTTGGAGCCACAGCACGACCCCAGCCCCTGCCTCACCCCTTCCTTGGTCAGGGGGCTTCTGAGCCTGTCTCCCCAGCTGTGCTGTGGCTGGCGGAGTGTGGGCCGGGTTCTCCTTTCACCCCTGCCCGCCTTCTGTCCCCGCAGCTACTACTACAACAAGCGCATTCTGCACAAGACCAAAGGGAAGAGGTTCACCTACAAGTTCAACTTCAGCAAAGTCGTGCTCGTCAATTACCCGCTACTGGACGTGGCGGCGGCCACCACCGGCTCCCCGCTCTTGCTGACCCCTGGTCCCTTTGGGGGGGGCCCTGGGCCAGATGCTCCTCCCCTCACCCCTGAGGTGAGTTAGGGTGCTGGGGTCTCAGAACTGGGGCATTTGGTGTCCCCCAGCCATGGAGCCCTGGGGAGGGGGCGGCCAGTCTGAGCAGCACTGCCTCCCTCACCTCCCTCTCCAGACCCTGCAGACCCTGTTCTCTGCCCCACGCCTGGGAGAGCCTGGTGCCCGGGCGCCCCTGTTCACCCCCGAGACGGACAAACTGCGTCTGGACAGCCCTTTCCCATTCCTGAGCTCGGGTAAGGGCCGGGGCTCGAGGGCTGCGGGGAAGAGGGGACGCTGCACGTGTTGGAGGGAAGACAGGCAAAGATGGAGACAGGATGCGGGAAGGAGGCCGGGCAAGGCTGGGGTGTGTGTCTTTTAAGCTAGAGAAGGATTCGCAGGGAGGAGGGAGACTGGAAAGGCGGGTGGGCTGGAGAAGGGCTTTCTGGGGCACTAAAGGAATGGGGAGAGTGGGGGAGACGGAGATGGGGAAGCCTCGTGAGGGTGGGGAGACAGGTGTGGGAGGGACAATGGGGAGAACCGTGCAGGCGAAATACAGGTTGGTGGCCCAAGCAGGCAGCAGTGACTGTGGAGCAGTGGCTCAGCCTGACGCATCCCCTGTGCCCTCTAGGTGCCACCGGCTATTCCAAGCCCCCTGGCCTGCTGGGTCCTTACAGCCGAGCCTTCCCAGAGTACCCCTGGAACTTTAACCCCTACCTTGCCGGCCCCTTCCCCAAGCTGCCCCCTTCTCTCTACCCCCCTCACTTCTACCCCAACCCTCTGGCCAGCTCCCTGGGCCACCTGCCCTCAGCAGGGGCAGGCCCCACCATTGCACCCCTTCTGGCTGCCACAGGGGAGGGCCTGGGCCCTGAGCGCCCCTCGGGCCTAGCAGCAGCCCCCCGCCTGGCACTGCCAGGGGCTGGGGGTCCAGAGGCTGCACTGGGAGGGAAGGAGGACAGCGACTCTGAGTTGGAGATCACAGATGTCAGCGGCTGCAGCTCTGACAGTGAGGGCGATGAGGGCCTCCCTGTGCCCCCCAAGGCCAAGGCAGGCAAAGGGGGGCTGGGCAGCTGAGCCGGTGTGGGGTGATGGATTCTGCTGGGGCAGGGACCAGGGTCACTGCCTGTGCAGCCTCTTCCATTGTCTGGTCTGCCCAAGATGTCCTGCCAGAGGCCAGGGACCAGCCCTCAGCCCCTTCCAGGGCCGGACACATGGCTGCCCCATTCTTCTTCCTCAACCCCAGGTTGGGGGTCTCACCTCCCCCTCCAGAGGGGCGAGGGAACACGATGGCCTCCAGCCTCCTCCCCAGGCTCCAGTTTGAGGGGGTCCCCACCTGGCCCCACTCCCAAAGTGCAATATGGCGCCCAGCCTCCCCTGCCCGCCCCCACCTCCGTGCTGTGACCTGTGTGTTCGTGTGGCCGTGTGTCCCCTGTGCCGGCCCAGTCCTGACACCCTCTCTACACAGGCCCCCTGGGGACAGGGTGCTCAGAGCAATAATCCCGCCCCCAGCCC